CTGTCTAAACTTTGTGCTGTTTCCAGTTTTAACACAGTATAGACAAAGATAGCTGTTTAATTTGTCAATAAATATACTAAGTAACTAAAATTAATTACCATGAGACCCAGTATTTAGATAATATACTCTCTGTAGTTCAAAGGAGGCAAATAATAGTTTAATTACCTTTTCATTCCATACTGAATAATCACAATGCAAGAATAGAGTGACTAGTTCCCATCCAGTCTTCCCCAAACAAATGCATTGCACCAAAAATACCCAGGCTTTTTTTACCTAATGTTTCCCAAAATGAGAGGACAAGCAGGGTGCACACAGCAGATCCTTTTCAGCTGCTCACCAGAATTCTTGGCTTGCGTTCCGTTTTATAAAAGTCCATTTCTAGCCATTAGAGTGGTGAAGAAAATGCAGCCACGTATGCCAGAGGCAGAAAGGCATTTCCAAAGAGTTTGAGACGATTGTTTTGAACTGAAAGGTGTCCCAGGCATTCCAAGTGGAGCCAAGAATAACACTTTCAATATTGATATACTTAAGAGTCTGACTCTTTTTTAAAGTATGGAAGCAAGGCGAGGAAGTGTATCCAAAAATGTTCACCAATGTTCCCTAAGGCAGGAGGAGGAGTCACAAAGGGCCAGCCAAGGAAGGAGCAGGAGATGAATGCATTGAGATATTTAAACCTTTAACAACAGGCAGTAAAACCGTAGCAAGGCATAAAATTTGTTCTACTTTTCTTAAAGGGCAGCTCAGCTTTCAGAAGTTTGGGAAATCCTCTATTAATCTTTGTGAAATCCACAGTGAGACTGGGAAATGTTGAGGCAAGCCTTTAAATCCTAAATACGCCCTTGCATGTGCTGATCTTGTCTAGGGGGTTGTGTTTTTTCCTTTATGCACAGAAAAATGCAGGAGGTGCCATAGCAGTTTTTAACCTTTCTTTTCTTTTAATCTACTGACGTTAAAATTAAACTCTGTTAAAACTTAGGAGATAGAATTGTGTAAAAACTGTTTGTTAGTAATCTGAGGCCAATAAACAAACCATATACACCAGGATGTTAAAAATAAGAACTGGTGAGTCCTCTTATTATGCAGGTCAGGTTGTCTAGCATAAAAATGTCAAATTTGCTGAAGTAAATAATAGCAATATTAATGGCACATAACTGTTGGCAGTGCATCCACGCATGCTTGGAGCTATATGCGTGAGTTAACTCACCTTACTTCTGGTGAAACTTCTTGCTGTTGTGGATAGATGGTTTCTTTTAGTAAGGCTTTAAACCAGGCAGTTGTGGTCTGAATGGGGGATGGTGTGAAGACACTGCCTCTTGGAGCAAGAGTATTTAAAGCCGGTTCAGGTTTGAAGCCCACCACACTCTCATGGAGGGCATGACTAGGCGGCTTTGCTGAATGTTAATGCAGCTGTTCACTTAAAAATGCTCGTGTTTCTGATTTTTTTGTCACAATTATTTAAGAACAGTGTTTCATTTAAGGCAGCCCCAGATCCCCAGACTGGGGGCAGACAGCTGGCCAGAGCCCATCCCAGCTCCCAGAGTCATTCGTGGCTGTGCTGGAAAAGCCAAGAGACTGGAGGGTCGTAGGAAGGACTAGGGGATTCATGGAAGGGGACTGCAAAGATCTTGGGAGGGACTAGGGGTGCCAGGAGAAGACCTAGGTGGGGAGTCCATGGGACACTGTGGCAGTGTGAGACAGGCTCTGTGGCAGGCTCTGCGGTGGGGGGCTCAGGGGCCAGGAGGCAGAGGCACCGTGGATCCCATGGAGGGGACCACTGGCTGATATTCCCAAGTATTTTTTTTCTCTGGTACTTGCGTTCAAACCAGGGTCTGAAGAGCCTTTTTTGCACGGAGGGACAGTCACTCTGGGGTACCCGAGTCTGAAAAACCCTGACTTTGAAGACAGCTGTCAGTGAAGGTGCTGGCTCATGCTTTATGTCCACTGTCTTTAAATCACCCAACCCAGTGGGGTCTGAGTTTCTGTGTTGGGGGCAGCGGTCTCCCCACATCCCCGCAGCAAGCAGTGCCCCCGCAGGCAGTGGGGCTGGGGGAGACGCCCCCCCCCACACACCCCCAAAACCCCCCCGACGCCTCATCCCAGTGGGCTGGAGCTCTGCA